GGTTTCTTTATGATCCAGCCTATGAAGGCCTGGCCAGAGCAGCTTCTAGGGGACTTTCCTAACCTTCCAGTGATGTACTGTAGAAGACCTCCTGCCTTGCTCTTACACCAAATAACACTCAACTGCAGTCCTCAGTGACTATAGACTTGTTGCCAATACTTCCCACAGTATAGTCCCATTTACACTACCCTTTTAAAACCTTGCCAAGAACAGTCCGGGCACGGCTTAAGTTGAGGCCTTCATAATTGCCAGGTTCAAAGACTATCTCACAAACAAGTTTGTAAGACTAAACGGTCAAGTGTCTAATCAGGTAACCATAAGCACAGGGGCCCCACAGGTGGTGGTGCTGCCACATCTTTACATCTCTGACTTCCAGCAGAAGACAGACTCAAGGCTACAAAAGGGACAGAGAGCACTGTACTTCTTCAGGAATCTTAGATTTTTGGGTTTTTGAATACTGTTTAAGTCTGTTGTGAAGATAATCTCTTCTTTGCCTGGCCAGCCAGACTTAATTGCAGTGTGCACAAGGGATATCATTCTGTATGTTAGTCTGGCTTGCCAGCTTCTGTTAAAGTAGCAACATCACAGCATATAAATAATAACATAAATAGCTGATCAAGAATAATTTGTTCTGGAAACTCATCTGAAACCTCTGTAAATGGTTTTAAATAGAAACATTGTTCATGAAACAAGAAGAACATTATGGACAACCCCTATGTAACCTCTTCATCAGACAGATTTAAATGCTTCTATTAATAAGAAAGACTAATGGAGATCCATCAAACAAATGAAATATACAACAACTGTTTGAAAAAAACCTGTAAGAGATACCAGGCATTTATTGTCCCTTTAGTATCAATAAAGTGTTTTGAAATTAAATTGAACAAAATTTGATTGAATTCAATTTTATTTAACTACCTCATAAAGGATTAAAGTCAGGCATGAAAATAATTTGATGTCATTGGATTTGAATTTGATTATATTATTGGATTGGATTGAATTAATTGAGGTGAATCAAATTACTTTTCATATCACTTTCATATCACTTCATATGAAGGTAGCTGACTCTGTGTAAATTAATTAAATTAAATATGATGTAATGACTGCCACTCCTCAAAGGGCCAGTGTCTCTTGTCAGTACTGAAATTACTTTATTTTGCTGTTCTTGATGGCTTTCCAGGATGTAAAGTCTGGAGATGTTCTCCAGAAGAAGCACCTGTGGGAAGTACTTGGAGACCCATCACGGAAGACCGAACAAAAGCCAAAGGTTTGCATAAACTGTTTTTACAAAATATTAAAAGGGGCAGTTGAGTTTCATGTTTAGCTGTTATTCGCTCAATGTCAGATCATACAGTTTTGGTATATTGATACACCTAAATACCCTCTTAATCCAACGGCATTGTGTTTTCTGTAACTTTATGGGGTTTAGGGTGTATCTAAGTATCCTCTTCCTTTTTTAGCAAATACTAAATAGAAGTAAGTTGTGTGTGTGATTTTTGTAGATGTGGGCATTACTGAAGTAGTTTTCTAAGATATTAAAGGTAGGATAACACCTTGCACTGCCAGATAGGTTTACTTTCTTTTTTAACAGTAAATGGAAAGCATGGTTTACAACTCCTTAAAGGTATTGCAGAAGATTATTGCAAATTTTTCAAACCACCCACTCTGTTTAAAGAAAAAAAAAAGCACCTCCACAACCCCATACCTGCTCTCGAGAGGGAGCATCCGTTTAGCATGCACGAGCCAATTTTTCCTTTTCACTCTTTGTTTAAAAGTTGCTGTTCTCATAGTTCATACAAGCTTACTGTGCCCGAACTTCTGCCCTAAATCCCCCAATAACTACAGTATATAGAGCAGAGACTATATAGTGGACTTTATAGGGAACTGAGTTAACTCAATGTTTGGCTAGATGACCACTGCTCCTAATAAGGCATACAAACATATAACCAGAATGATTCAAAATTAGGAAGACCACTTATTTAGATGACCCACCTGGAAAAAAAAGATCATCCTCTATACCTTTAAGGAAAGAAGGAATCAGCTGCAGGTGTGTGAATGATACAATAAAAAAAACTGCACTCTGAGGGTCTTCTTCATTAATTTAATGTGGGCAAGAGAACGCATTTTGAGCTTATAACTTCTAAACAACAAAACACCTGGCATTCTAAATGGGAAGAAGAAGAAGTGCTGATATTTGATAAAGCGTGGGGTAACATTTGTAAATCACAAAAGAGAACAACTTATTTACACAGCTGGAATGAATAGGATAGGAAATTATTATGAGATTCTTTATCACCCCGGTTAAAAAGAGACACCAAGGCATTGGTACAGGTTGTTTGAGGTTATGTGCCTTAGTTAATGCCAGACGCTGAGACATATTCTGGGGCTTTCCAAAATTTAAACTTTTGTGGCATGAAATTTAAAAAAATCTTTGGAAAATATCGTCAAAAATAATTGTTCCATTTGACTTGTGAATACTATATCAAGGACCTATAGTACAGAGTTGTCAAACTGCTGGAGACAAACATTTAATGAGGATCCTACTTATGGAAGAAAGGAGGTCCTGACCAAAAAGGGGTAACAATCAGATATTCCAACTCTAAATGATTGGTATAGAAAAGAGTAACATTATCAATAAAGATGCAATCAGAAAATTCTGAGATGGTGTGAATAATTGATAAAGTATATATGATAATTACCTACATGCAAAATATTGGGTGAGATTGACATCAAATTTTCTTGTTACTAGTTTTTTTTTTTTTCTCTCTCTCTCTCTTTTCAAAATACTCAAACAGAAAATGCTTAGTTATGTCACAAAGTGAAGGAGCAAAGAAACAGCAGTAACAAGGATCAATACTGTTGGGTGTAAAATGTGTATGATTTCGATCTGATATGTATGATGAATTCTGTATGTTCAGAGGGAAAAAAGGTAAAATAAAATAAACCAACTTGTGTGTCATCTCTTCACAGGCAACAGCAGATGGTACAAAGAGTAAATTTGTTATCACTGGTCATGGAAAGTATGAGAAGATCTCTGTGGATTAATATGGACAGCTTACCAAAACAATGGTAGGACCTCTTGTTAAGCTGAACTCAGGTTTAATTATCATCTCTACTGGGGGTTTACTGTGTGTATAACCTAAGTTAAACATGAAAGTTGTTTGGGCATTTAACAATCAAAATCAAAAGATAATGTGACCAATAAAATGTAGCTTAATTTGAACATTTCCATCTTCTGTAAATTCTTTACACTTTATTGTCCAACAATGGGGAAATTCACTCTCTGCATTTAACCCATCCCCTTGGGGAGCCGTGGGCTGTCACTGCCCGGGGAGCAGTCTGGGGTTAAGGGTCTTGCTCAAGGACCCTGTTTGGCATGGCAGTCCATGGGAGAGTGGAACTTGAACTCAGAACCTCTGGGAGGGCAATCCTCCAATGACCACGGGCAATACAGTTGCTTTCACCTTTCATGCTCTTTCTAGTTTTTTCCAACTTATGTTCTTTTTTCCTTATGATTACATTATTTGGCATGGCCTCGTAGATCACTATGGCTGTCCTCTGCTGCTTATCAATTATCACAATGTCCAGCTGGTTGGTCACAACCACTTTGTTTGTATCTGGAAGTCCCACACGATCTTAGCTCTGACATTCTCCACAACCTTGTGATGTGGCTCCCATTTTGACCTGGGGGTTTCCACTTTCTACTCACCAAAGATTTTCTGATCATTTCCCATGTGTTGATCCATGTGCTTGCTTATCTTTACTGCTATGATACCTAACAGGAGCTCCTGTGTTTTGGTGAGATAGGTTATTGGCCAATAGTTTGTTGGTACTGTGTCTTTCTGGGGGTCTTTCATTATCAGAACTAATCGCCCCTCGGTCACCTTTAAGGGTGGGTCCCACTCTTCAGCAGCCAGTAAATTGTGCTGCTAGGCATTCATGGAAGTCAGTACCTTGTTCAGGGAGTTTCGGAGCTCTTAGGTCTTTTAGTAACAATGCATCATTGTTGTGTGATGCTTCTCCAGGGACTCGGATATGGGTATAAGTTGGTATTTCTGCAGCCAGATGATCCCCTCTTGAGTTCTGAGAATTGGCTTACTTCTCTCTGTGTTGCCTTGATTTTGACCTCGAAACTTCGGTTCCATGGTCAATATTTTCCTCTTTAGGCGCTCTTGACTTTACCTTGACCAAGCAACGCAAGGATCTGTAATGTTGTACTGTATATCAGATCATTAGTTTCTATAATGCTCGCAGTAGGGACCTTAGGTGGTGCTGTATATATATATATATTATATATATATATAGCTGCCAGACTTATGTAAATGGTCAAATTTTTTCTCAGTTATTTTGTTTATAATATTATATCATATATTTAAATTATTAAGATGGTCCTCAAGGACTTTATTTCGGGTTTCAGGTTTTCCTGTTTTAGCACAGCTGATTCACATTGATAGATGATTAACGGGCTTTTGCTGAACTGCAATGACCTGAATCAGCTGTTCCGAAGCAGAGAAACATTGAAAACTTGTAGGGCAGTGGCCCTATGCATTTATAAAACTGGAGCTTCTCTAAGTAACTCCCTTATTATCATATTTAAACTTAAGGAATTGGGAAAGAAATACAGGACAAATATTGTACACTGGCTTAATTAGTTTGATTTTGTTTTCATCAAGACACCTGAGCTGCTTTGATGAGCTCCTATAGTTCAGTTTGGAAAACAGCTGATCCCAGGCTGTTCTCTATATCCAGTCTGTTCCTCTCCTTGGTTTGGATGTGTGTCACAGCTCAAGGTGAACTCAAACATATAAGAAAAATTTGTTTTTGGTTGAAAAAAATCTTGTTTAATTTTTTTATTGGATCCTCACAAAGCAAAACAGATCTCAGCCCTATTTTATTTTACTAGCTAGGAAATAAAATATTTTCATGTACCCCTTGCAATGCACTTGTGGAACACTAGAGTTACAAGTATCCCTAGTGGTATAATTGAATTTTATTAATCTCACACTGGAGAAATTTAGCTCTGCATTCAACCCATCCCCTTGGGGAGCAGTGGACTGTCATTGTGAGGCGCCCGGGGAGCAGTGAGGGGTTAAGGGTCTTGCTCAGAAAGCCAGATTGGAGGCTGTGAGGATCGAACCGGGTACTTGCAACCTTCTCAGAGCACAAGCGCACTGCTCTAACAACTAGGCCATCACTCGCTTTCTAAAACAAGTTTTATTCTTAAAAAAAAGAGAAAACCTGGCTTTCCTTTTTTGGCATTAGTCTTTTACAAGTAACTAATCATTAGTACACAGCTATTATGATAAGTACGGGATGCTATAAAAAGTGAAGTCTTTACCCAAAGATATATATATTAGGACACATGGTTCTTCAGCAGGAATGCCCTCATTTTGGAAAAATGAGCACAATACAGTATAAATTTTGTCTTTATGCATAAGAACATTTTTGCACGTTCTTAGCGGACAGATTTAGTAAGAGTTTAATTTAACACTTAACCCCGTGAAACAAATCAAGAATGTGATACTTCTCAGCTGATACTGCTGCTGTGATTGGTTAAAAACTTGACATGGGATCAGATCCAGGTTCCCAATTAGCTTGAAGAACTGGACTGAATGCCCCCCCCCCCTTTTATAAACACGTTCTACAGGAGGCTTATCAGAATGATAACATGTAGAAATTTCAATGTAGCTTATGCATGGTTATCACCATCCCACTAACCTCCATCATAGCTCTTTTTTGGCTGGATGCCATTGGTCTTATCTTCAACAAATCACAGAACAATCCATCTATTAATATTTATTCTAAATTATTTATTACTTTCTAATCCCACAAACTTTCATTTAACACTGCAGTAATCTAAAATCATTCCTGAAATTCTGTCCACTGAAACCCACTGATTATATAACACATTGCTTTGTTTTTCATACAAGATTTATGTTATTGGAAGTCTACTGGTTAAACATTTCTACTAAATAAATCAGCAATTTACCTCCATAATGTTGTTTTGGAGCTTTAATGTGTTATGAAACACAATTAACATAAAACATTTTCTTTTTGCAAACTCCAGATAAACATTATTATTTTGCTTAGAGGCCTTGTGTTATAGCAAAATCACAATTTTGAAAAAAAAAAAGGATTAAATGGATGATTATTTTATTTATTGGTGAACATCTAGTTTTACATTTATGGTTTTATATATATGTAAAAAAAAAAACAAAAACAGGAAATTTGTGGAAAAAGGAACAACCATGTACATACATACTCTGTGGCTCAGCAACATCCTTTGCAAATTTGTGTTTTCAGATTACTCAAACACCTTTTGTGTTGTCCAAAGAAATTTAAGACAAATCGGCTATTTTTTTTCTTATCAACAACAGCCAACAAGGTTCAATAACAAAACACATTTGTTAGGTATTACTTTAAGATTTCTTCTGAAGCTTATCAACTCCACTTTATAATAAATCTATTTTTTTTTTTCAATATGGACACTTTACATTAGGCATAATTAAGTAGCAGTAAACCCTCTAGCTTTTCTGTTAAAATCTTTTGGTTCATCTTCCTTACCTTTCCGCCCAATTAGTCCCATTTCAAACACAACAGAAATTTTTGTGACTGGTCTGGATGCTGCTTCTTTAAGCTTTTTAGCATCAAACCTGGGGCTGAAAAGCAACACTGGTAGCCTGAAGGCAAATGAAGGGATCTCTTTCTGCTCATCACTTTTCTCCTCATTCTTTTTATCATCACTTTTATTTAATTCAATCTGATGCATAATGTTCTCTTTGGAGGAAAACATTTGGAACAGGACTGCGTCCCACATCTTAGTTGCTTTTGGAGTGTCTGTGTCTTTTGGTGTAGCTTGCTTGCCATCCTGACCACTTAAGTGCTCCTCTATCCTTTCGCTCTTACTGTGGTCTTGTTCATGGACTGCTTTCTCAGAGCCTAACTCTGGAAATGTTGGCTCTTCCTGTTCCACCACCATGTGTTTTTTAAGTCGTGACCATCCAGTCTTTCCTGCTTTTATGCCCTTTGTCTTTTGCATCACATTAAGAAGCGATGTTGTTGCTGGGGGGGAGTCATTAGCTCCCTTTTTGTCCAATTTATCTGATGAAAGTTGTTCTTTGTAATCTTTTTTGTTGTTTTCAGATGCTTTTGTAGAATGCTCTTCAGCAGGCAGATTTGGTAGAGGGGGAACAGGCTTTGAGCTTTCCTTATTAACCTGTGTGGGACTAAAAGATGTGTTTGGTTCTTTTACAACAGATTCATCAACTTTTATTATTTTCTTCTCATCGGTCTGGACCTTTGCTTTACCCAAAAGGTGCTTCACCGCCTTCAGGGAACCTTGGTCACAACTTTTTGGAGGAGTATCTTTTATCTCAGTAGCTTTCGTAGTTAGTGGGGTTTTACCATCCTGTTTCTCAGAAAAGACATCTACTGCTTTTGTAATTTTTTGGACCGCTATTGCCTCTTGTTTTGCTGCAGTTGAACCAGTTGCCATAGCTTGACCTTGTTTTGATATCGTTCCAATTGAATCTGATGGTTTCGAAACTACAATAACTGGGAGTGTGACGCTAGAACCAGCCTTTACATCACTCTGGTTAGGCCTTTCTTTGCTCTCTGATGTCTCCTTTGTTTCAGAAAGCTCAACTGTAGGTTGTTCTTTTACATTCAGTTCTTGGCTACTCTGTTTGAGAACCTTTTCTTTAGCTTTAACCTCATCTTGTGTTGGCATCAGGGAGGTTGTAATGCCAAATGCAGGAGAATATGTTTTGATTCCACCGTAAGCAGCATACTCAGCTGGCGTAAGCCCACGATAGGCAGACTTTGACTTTTGCCATTCCGGGGTTTTAGGTCTCTGACTGGCCATCTGCGTAATATTGGATGTTGATGTGTTCAGCCTTTTATAGCCTGGTGATTTGGTCAAAAGGCGAGAGGCCTCATATGTTGGTGTTTTTGGCCTCTGATAGCTAGTCACTACTTGTGTAGCTGGCACAGAAACAGGAGTCAAAGCTCTCTGAGAGCCAAGTGTCGAAACCGACGTCACTCTTCGAGTCAAATCAGACTCCGACTTTGACTTTTTAATGCCTTGTTTTACAGAGTTATTTGCAGGTGTCATATCAGGGTTAACATCCCCATTAATTAAAGTTTCATGAAGCTCTGTGGTCTTCAGATTTAGCGAGGCATGTGAACTTTTAAGACTAGAAATATTTTGGGGTGACCTTGACCTCTCTGGATCCACTGTGATTGGGGACACTGCAAACAGAAGAGGATTAGGTCGTGAGATTTCAAAGACAGGGGTTGTTGCTCGGGTGATGTGGTATGCTGGAGTTTTAGGTCGTCCTCCTGAAGCTCTGGATGATACAATGTCATATGTTGGTGTTTGAACTCTGGCTTGAGATATTAGAGTGGTTGTTTTACTCTCCGACGCTGGGGTTGATCTTTTTGCTTCCAAGATGGGGGTTGCTCTTTTGAAATCAGGTGTTGAAGTGGCTTGCATCATTTCTGATGTTGGAGTGACTCGCTTGATTTCTGATGTTGGAGTGACTCGCTTGATTTCTGATGTTGGAGTGACTTGCTTGATTTCTGACACTGGAGTCACTTGTTGGATTTCTGAAGTTACTCTTTTGATTTCAGCTGTTGAGATGGCTCCTTCTAATTCTGATTTTGGAGTTTTTCTCCCTTGATCAGTGTCTGATACAGGAAGGCGGATTGTTGCTGTCTGCACTCCTTTGATCGTAGATGCTGTGAGAACATCCTGATGTGCTTCTGCTAAAGCCTTGCTTTGAGGTACCGTGGTGCCAATGGCTGTTAATCCAGCTGTATCGTATACCGGTGGTGTCCTAGATGTCTCATAATATGATGTGCTTGCTGTATACATTCTAATTTGAGGTACTTCAAACATTGGCTTTGGTGATTTTGAGGGTTCAGTTGCTTTAAATGTTGGACGAGGACTTTTAGATTTAATGAAAGAGGTCAACACAGTAAGAGGCCGAACCATAGCTTGACCTATCGGTATTGGATGTGGAGTTGAACTTCTAATTTGTGATGTTGGGGTACCTACAAATGGGACAGAGCTCATACCTGCTTGGCTGTCATTAAATGTTTTCAGTTCAGCTGCTGGTAATTTCATCTCAGGCACAGAGGAATATGGTAGTGAATGTTTAGCCTCTCCTGGCAGCCCAACAGGCTCTGTTGAGACTGAGACTCTAGAGACCTGATCTGATGCAGAATTAGGTGATACTTTTGTGGCATAGTGTGAGGAAGAGCATGAAGGGACAGCCACAGTGGGAGGGGACATGCCTACCGCTCGACCAGCAAAAGCTGCTCGTTGTGGATAAGGGGATGCCACATGCTGATACAATGGCCTGACTGTAAATCGTGGAGGTTGCTGGATGCTGTGAAGTCTATGAGGTGTGTCTAGCGTTTGAGGGGATGTTGAGTGGTCACTGCGCTCCAGATCAGGGCTTGCCTCATTTACAGGGGAAAGGCTTGAACGGAAAGGTGTGGTAGACTGTGATGTCTGAGTGGAAGTCTTTTTCTTGGCAGTCCTTTTGAGTAGTTTCTGAAGACGAATATTATCTTTTCCAGGCTTGGGCAGTAGTGGTGGAGGGTACTGCTGGGAAAACAGGCCCAGCTGGTGGATAGAGCCATAGGCAACAGACATGAATGCTTCTGCACCCTATTGAGAGAAAAAAAAAATGAAATCAAGCCTTAAATTGTGTTTTTTTTTCTTATATTCAAGTGATTAAAATTTAAATTGTAACCCAAAGGCAGTACTACTTTCTTACTCAGATGGTATCTTTAACAAAAATGTTAGCCAGACATAACTGTTTCTATGTACAGTATGTAAATTGTCATCATCAACACAAACATCTTCATCATCTGCTTCACCTTTTATCTACTGCTTACTTAAACCAAAACAACCTAAAACTGCTATAAGACAAACTCAATTTTCCTTTTAAACATAATACCATTGATGCCTCTAAGAAAGTACTCACTTAATATGCCTTAATAGTCATACAAAATAAATTTCTTTAATAATGGTTTAACATTTTTACGTCTAATGTTTATTCTTTGCTCTTTTTGCAGGTCTGTGCTACAATAATTGCCAAGGTATAATTTCTTCTTCCATTGCCTTTTCGATCTCACAACAGCTTATCTGAGGAGCTCTACCAAACTATAGTCTGCTCTTTTTTTTAACAAAGCTAATGTCTTCTGAAGATATCTAGGGAATACAATCCCAAATGCTACCCCCAAATCATGCATAGCTCTAGATTTCAGATTTTATTTTAAAAAGAAGTTTCCTTGTGATAAGAAATGCAATAGGCTTCTGAAGGTGACTTTAATGGAAAATAAATCATTGGTTCCTTTTATCTATGTTCAAAAGAAAATAACATTTTAGAAATGTAAACTCTAAAATAAAGAATGGGAAAATCATTTTGGCTGGTACTGCATTTACCCACAGATTTCCAATCAGATTCATGTTGGTATTATAACTGGACCACTATATCATTAATGAAAATGAGACTTTGGTAAAATTCAGATTTTCAGAAAATCAGCTGAGGTTGTTTTGAATTTAACCATACATACTAGTGGTTATACCCAACTAGAGCTTGAACCTCCTCATTTTGTTTTGTTTTCTGTTCTAACAATAAAGTGATTAAATGTGAGTTTTGTTTTTTTTCAGTTCAGGATGATCGTTTGTAATGTGTAAGTTTGTATCTGTACCGGTTTGTCTTTTAGTTTAGTGCAAAATGTTCACAATTTGCTTCATCTACAATAAAAAAAAAAACACATTGATTTTAGACCTGTTTAGCACTTTACAGTGGAGAGCAATCAAAACTGCATATCTCTCTCTCTCTCTCTCTCTCTCTCTCTCTCTCT